TTTGTGCCTTAAGCTAGACTAAAAAATAGACGATTATAGAATGAAAGTATATTTTGTTACTTTAAACAATTAATTTGATATTGTATAAATAAATCATAAAAAATGATAAAATTTAGGGGCTCGATTATAAAAATAAAATGTGATTGAAAAATTAGGAGACTCAATTATAAATGAAAGAAATGAGATTAAAAAAATAGGGGCCTCAAGGTAAAAGGTGAAATTTAAAAAATATGGACTTCAATTATAAAGGTAAAAAATAAGATTAAAAAATATGGCCTCAATTATAAAGGTAAAAAGCGGGATTGAAAAAATTAGGGGATTCAATTATAAAAGAAAAAAGTGAAATTACAAAAATTAAAAGCCTCAATTATAAAGGTAAAAAAAATGAAATTTAAAAAAATTAAGGGTCTTAATTATAAAAATAAAATTAAAAAAAATTAAAGATCCTATAAGAAAAATAGGGGCCTGAGCGGTTGCCCAGGGTGTACCCCTAATACCCAGCTCTGACCTCTAGCAAAGCCTTCTTGTATCCAGTGGTCTATATCATTTACATCAATGGTTAAGATATACTCAAATCGTAACACCCTAAACCCGATTAGGCCTAAAGTGTCACATTGGGCTACCGAGACAACACCTAATTTTCAAAATATGTTCATTTTGATTTCAAAAAAAAAAAAACACATGGTACCAAAATAAACATATACGATAGATATAAAAACCAGTTTCATAAAATCGGAGCTCCGTGACACATTGTTTAAAACCAAAATAATACAAACTAAGAGTTATAAATCTGAATACAATAATATAGGTCCTATGAATACACATGCCCATTAAAGATACATTACATTACTGTGGAAGAGATGTTGTGAGTCCTGCTGTGATAATGATCCACGAACAACTCAAGTTAATAACATGCAAAACATCCGAATTCTGAGCTTACAAATCCCATCAGTATAATTTCTAATCTAGAGCAACATTACGACTTTTACAAACACAAGCTTGCTAAAGATATGGTACTAAACGGTAGGTACATGCATGATCAAAATCAAGTGCTACATACTTAAGGCTTAACTGTTCTTATGAGTCTTAAGCCTCCTTTAATCCTTTACTATGGGCCTCGTCATGAGTACACCTCTATTGGGTCTCTAACCCCACTAACTGTAGCTACTGTGCATCATCTGAATGCAACACATGACTCACTATTGTGTATTATCTAAATGCGATATATGACTCACTACTATGCATTATCTGAATGCGACACACAACACACTCCTAGTATCTGGTCTCACATAACCATCAGATACTGATTAGCTGAGGGAACCCAGTAATCACATAGCATCAGTAAAATTCCCACTAAGCGACTGAATGATCTATTGGTCTCACATAATAATTAAGTAGATCATAGAGGGAACTTTGTCATCACATAACAATAAGTACAATTCCCCTCAATTGAAGTATTGGACTCATTCTCACACAACCATCAAGCCAAACTCTAAGGATATTTATTGTACTAGACTGATGCAACTACACACGCATAACTGAGGGTACAAGGGCCACACAACACTAACATTGCCCCACGAAGGCAATTGAGGTAGCCTAGCTGCACACCATTGATAATACCCCACTAGGGAAACTGAGGTAACCTCGTCACACTCTAGCATAGCTCAACATACTAAAGTAAGGTCATCATTCCACTAGCTGCTATCTCAGTAGTACTTTCATTTAGAACATTATGCAAGGGTTTATCAGTCTGTTATCTATGTTAGTTTGTTAAGCTGCTCTAGCCTATTCATTATCACTTAGGGATATTTTAATTGTTTCAATCACTAAAGAGGTATCTACATTTCATGATTTTACAACAGTTACTATACTTGTTGTTCATTGGTTGTATTACTTGCTAGTCTGATACCTGACTCAGGTTCATTATTGGGTAGCGACACTCTATTCGCTTTTACCACACTTCCCTTAAATTCCCCTTGAATTGGATGGACAACTTCTACGTCCACCCTTCGTTGACATTCTTGTAGTACACGATTCTTCTATTTCATAATATGATTAATTTATCATATCCTCTGCAATGATCCTTCATTATTAGTTACTCGCTCTGTATTCGGCTAAAGATACTTGGACATATTGCACCTAATATGGTTACTTCAGTTATATCATACTTCTAAGAGTATTTCTATGCACCTTTTTCCATTTATGTCCCTCGTTTACTAAGTTCCACCATTACAGGTTATCCTTAACTTTTACGGGCCTTAACGAAGTCGAATCTAACCATCCAAAGTGAGTAGTATTGATACCATACCAAGTATCGATACCTCCATGAGTATCAGTACCAAAAAAAACTTTTGTTTTCTAAAATTTCTTCCAGTATCAATACTAAATCCTCGGTATCGATACCGGGGCTACAATATCGATATTGCTTCTTTGAGTATCAATACTCTCAGTATAAAATGCCCAGAAACTATCCCAGTTCATCTAGTATCAATACTGTTTATCCAATATCAATACTTGAACCCATAAATGCCTTGTTTAAGCTCATGAAACATTCAAGAATTGTCATATGGGTAATAGTTTGATCCCAAATCACGTGCTAAAGCTTAGGAAAGCTACTTAGGGTCATAAGGTGCCATAAAAACACATGCTTTACAACAAAAACGTCATATATGTAATAAATCAAACATAAAACCTAAAATGCTCAAACACTCAAATCTGAATAAACCTTCTTGCTTACGAAAGCCTTAACACCACAAAGGATTAAAATAACTACCTTGATGCTACAATCCTGAAATCACGCTCATTTTTAGTAAACAAAGAACCTTAGGCTTTAAATCATCAAAACAAGTAGCTGGAGGGATTAGAGACGAATTTGAAACTGAAAAGAAGTATAAAAGGTGCTAAAAAACTTACCTTTGAGATAGACACTTGGAGAGGAAATAAAAGAAGAAAATAAGAAGGAATGAAATGAAATAAGGATATGAAGGAAGATAAAGCTCTCATCTTAAAAAAAAATAATCACACTTTTGATCATTCTCATTTTTCTATTATGCAAAGATCCTTTTTTATGAACAATTGGGCTCAATTCCAACCTAATTAATCCCAAACATGACACAACGACTTTAATTAAAAACTTCACGAGATTCACATACCTCTCAGGTAAACCCGAAACTACTAGCCCGAAATTAGGGTGTTACACATATCATACAAGATCCCTTATATAATGAAATAACATTAAATTAATCCTATATAATAACATCAATTAGCAATAGTCATTTCCCTTAATAGCATATTACATTGGATATGACAAGATTCTCATAAGATATGACAAGATTCTCATAAGATATTCTCTGAAATGACGATAGACTCATTTCATTATTTTTTTTTAAAATACCTATATCTCAACTCATGCATCCATACAGACTACACTACTCGAATTTGGGTTATCAAAGAAGAATAAAATTTTCTTTAACAATTGAAACCACTCTAAATATTCTCATTGTTTGAGATACTAAAAATCAACAAATAATTATTTTCATATATTTTTAAACAATAATGATCACATTTTTAATGCATTAATTTCTTAATAAATATTGTTTTAATTCAATTGTTTCATGTCTATTAATTCTTCACATTTTCTTATAAATAGAGATATCCTTGGAGAAAATACGTATTTAACTTCTCCCCTTACTGCTCTTATTTGTTTGAACACGTGGAAAGCAAAAAAGGATCATGAAAAACATGTGCTGGATTTGGAGAGGAGCTTCAAAACAGGGCCCGGCTCTAAACGGGGCACCCCAAGCAATCGGTTAGGACTCCCAATTTTTTTCCGTATTTATAATTAGAATTCTTAATCTTTTATATTTATATTAGAATTTTTAATTTTTTATAATTATAATTATAACCTTTAATTTTTTATATTTATAATTATAACCTTTAATTTTTATAATTTCATAAAATTTTAGCTTTTGACCCTCTTTTTTATTTCTCTTATTAATTCATTCGATTATTGAATTAAATTTAACAATATTTTATATTTATAATTAGAATCTCTAGTTTTTTATAATTTCACAAAATGTTTAGTTTTTTACCCTTCTTTTTCCATTTCTCTTATTTATTCATTAAATTTTGAATTAAATCTAATCATGCTTTTCTCTTTTTTTTTCCTTCAAATCTTACTCTTCAATTTATCAAATATTTTTTAATTTTTAGTGTTCTTCAATCTCAATCTAACAATAAAATAATATACAATTATTTTTTTATTCAAAATCAAGCTATGTTTCATACATGCATTCAATTTTTTTTTATATTTATTCTCTTTCAGTTGTATTTAAAGGTGTTTTCTTAATAAAATAATAAAAATAATATATTTTCACAAAATTTAATCATTTTTCTATGATTATTTATTTAATATTAAATTACTTGTTCAAAGTAATGAAATATAATTTTATTTTATAAAGATATATTTTTTAATTTTGACTCAGGGCCCCGAAAATATTTGAAACGACTCTGCTTGAGAATAAATGAAAACCAAGAATGAATGAAGCATTTTCAGTATCTTGTTTGTAGATATTTGTTGCTTTAATGTGAGCCCCAGAAAGTGTATGATTTCTTTGTCAAACATCGGCCTAGCGTTACATTAAAAAAAAGTAGTCCAAAATGACTTTTGGGTGATTTGGTTGAGTTTTAGCTATCTTCCTTTTCTTTTGTCAAACAATTCGACTTTATGGTTTTTCTTTTATCAGACTCCAGAGCACATGAGTTTGGCCTTTGAAGGCCGCCATTTTCTACTCCAGGAACTTCAAATCAGTTCCGGGTCTTTATTCCAGTAAAAGATTTAAGGATACAAAATTCTCTGTATGTACTTTTAAATACAAATTTCAATTTCAATCGAAGAATTTAAAAAGAATGAAAAATCATAATCCATTAATTGAAAGTTCCCTTGTTTACACCAGAAAAAAGAAGAAACTAATCCAAAGCTTCATATTTGTGTTTTAATAATTTTAAGTGCCATCATGTCTCAAGTAGATCCTCCAACAACTTGTCATCGAGGTACTCCAACTCTATGACTTCACCTCCGCTCTGGGGATTCCCTCTAGATGAAGATGGTGGAATCTGATACTGGTATTCATTCGGGAAATTGAGAATAGCCGAGTGACCCCGGAAAGCAAAAGCAGCCCTGTCATACGCCCTTGCCGCCTCTTCGGCCGTATCAAAAGTTCCAAGCCACAGCCGTGCTCCATTCCTCGTCGGATCGCGTATCTCTGCTGCAAACTTCCCCCACGGCCTCCGCCGCATTCCCCTGTATCGAATCTCCTCGTTGTTGTTCCCTCTCTTCTTCCCTCCCTGAGATGCTTCCATTGTTTTGTTTTCAGGTGTATGGAATGTCCGAAAGGAATGTTTGGGATAATGGAACTGGATAGGGGTTATATATATAAAAGACATGGATTGTGATGGTTCAAAAGAGGGTCAATGGCCCTTAACTCTCTATGACCAAAACGATGGGTCATTCTTGACGGTTGGAATAAGTCCATTTCATTTTCTAGGAAACTTCCTCGGGTGTAATGAACAAGAGTTGGATTTATTCCATGTTGTTCGAGTAGCTAATAAATATACATCTGAACATGATTATAAAGTAATTTTTTATTATTATTACATCCAGTTTCTTTCCACGTTATCACTTAGCTCAATAATAAAAAAAATATTGGCAGGATGCATGCACGACGAGTTTCTTTCGTTTGGCAGCTCAGTGGTGTAGTTGTTAGCTTATTAATTTGTAGATTCCACCTTTCGATTTATCAAATAGCTGCCTTAATGCTTTTTCACTGTTGCAAATTATAAAACACTATGATTGTCGGATTTGGGGATGTCTTGACCACAATACTTACAATGATGGTTATCCCATAAAAAAAACCCATCATGGCCTTAAATATCAAATGTGTGCCCCAAAAAAATGAAAAAGGCCCACAAATCCTACGATTACCACACTTGCAAATTAAATATTAATATGTGAATGACCCACAAATCAAAAGTAGTTCCAACATACGAGAATTTGATTAGTATCTGTAACATATTGAATTTTGATTCAGCATATGTAAATTAATTCGAGATATCTATGGATCCATGTAATTGGATAATTAGAGTGGTTGGATCAGTGTTGGGTCAAATTAGTGGAGAGTTGTGCCTAGGGATGGCAACTCAACCCGAATTCCGACCCGACCCGATCGGGTCGGATTTTTTTAAAATTTCGGTCGGGTGGTCAATGCACTGTTCGGGTCGGGTCGGGTTTAGGGTAAAAAAAATCCGACCCGACCCGACCCGAAAAATATATATAATTTTATCTTATATATTTAGGGATAATTACAATAATATCCCTTTATATATAATTTTTTTCAATTAAGTCACTGTTTTCATTGAATTAATTTTTTTTTTATTATTTCGGGTCGGGTCGGGTCGGGTTTCTAAGTCATATATTCGGGTCGGGTCGGATCGGGTGAAACATTAAACGGGTGGAGAACCCTTTCTTCTCGGGTCGGGTCGGGTGGCCCAAAAACCCGACCCGACCCATTGCCATCCCTAGTTGTGCCCAAATGATCATAAAAAATAGATTATTGAATTGACGGTAAATGAGGATGGACCAACATTGTAATTAGACCCTTGGAGGAGTAAAAGTCTTATTTTTCATTCAATTTTTGATGAGGTCACCGGGGTAAATAAGGGAAAAAGGTGATTCCTCTTTTTCTTATTTTTCTCCCGCCACACACCATTAATCTCCTGTACACATTCTCCTCTTATTTAGCAAAAACCCCATAGCAAAGGTGCCACCTCGGCCTTCATTTGCCACGTCTTTGGTACAGAATCTTGTGGGCTACCATTTGAGCTCCACATCTCCTTGGATGGTAAGGTGAAACTTGGTAAAGGGTTTAAGGGAGATCTTGAGCTCTTGTGCTAAACTAGCTGCTTAAATATATTTTGAGCATTTCAAACTCATTTAAATTTTTTTCAAGTCCTTAGAAATGTTGGTAATTCATATTTTGATTGTTTGTTTAGATAAAGAGTAGGGAAAGTCCTCCAAAGATAAGATCAAAGAGAAATTGATACTTGATTGAGATAGAAGGCTTTTGGTTATTTTGGAGTAAAGATAACAATAACACACACCTAACTCATCTATATTATTTGTATTCGTTTTATGCTGATTTACTTACTTGTATGAGTGTTTGATGTATGCTTGGGCGGCATATTAATTGTGATATCGATAAAGGGATTAATATTCAAATTTCAAGGATAGTTTTAGTATTTATACTCAAGAGGAGTAATAACGACCATCAAATGTGTACCAATGCTCATGTTGCCGTCAGATCTATTACAACTTCAAAGCTTTAATTGATATCATTATCCAAGGGGAGTACCTATATCTTTTAGTAGAGTATCAATACATGTCACGATACGTGTCTGATGTTATGGATACTAGGGGTCATGGTTGGGACTTAGAATGGTTTTTTATATCAATACTCAAAGAAAGTGTCGACACCCTTAGTTTAGTATAGATATCTAGAGGTAGGTATCGCTGCCAACAAAAAGAAAAAGGCTAGTGAAAATTGTTGTTTATCGAGACTCTAGAGTGAAGAGTCTAGTAATGTTATAAATGAGGTAATAAGATTGAAAGCTAGAACTTGAGTAAATGTGATTGATAAACATAAGAAATTATGATGTGAGATTCAATAAGATTTGTAACACGCTAATCCAATACGACCCGTAGATCGATGGACTAGAGTATTACATGGGACCATCGAAGTGGCTAACCAAAAACTTTTCTTTAGAACATTTGTAAAACATCATATGAAAACCATCAATCAAAGTTGTAAAATAGAAACATAATAGTATTCTTTACAAATATAAGGAGCTCCCAAAATACATCCCAAAATTATGATATTCTAAAATAGAGTTACTACTGAACATAAAAGGATACACGAATAGTACATTCCCTCTAAAATATGACTTAAGACGTACTCTAAAGCCTCAGTGGGTCTTGAATCACTGGTGATGTTAATGCTACCCAAAACATCTCCTAGAAACCTATGCACGAAAACACATTTCAAACGTTGAGCTTACGAGCTCAGTGCCACACTAAAAATTGTACTTATACTACGTGCATGCACTACATAGGCATGTTAGCAGTCATAGATTTGAACATACAAGAACATTAATATGCAAAGTTGATGTAGGCATCATGGTGTGGTTCGAGGTTTTTGCATCTTGGGATGCATGCCCCTCTAGCATACCTAAGATACTATTGGGTATCTGGGGTGAGATCCGAAATTGCATTGAAAATGTAAACCCTTCTAGCTCACTCTTGAGAGTCTTGAGGCATCTGCGCCCAGCCAACAATTGAAGTGTCTTGGCTCTAACTGAGATATATTTGTATACTCTAACATGCTAGATGATCGTCGTACTATTAAAGTAACTCGAGTGTTCTGGCTATTTTCCGAGCATCACACAATGGCTAGTTTTAATTCATCTTAATTGGTAGTTTTTCTAGTTGTAAATGTATTCATTATTGTTCCCACTTGTAGTGTTATTTAGTGAGTTTTGGTGTCATTATATATGTTTCTCAAACCCTTTGACCAACTGAGTTTCTTACCCAAATCAGCACAGTGATATTGATACTAAGCTCTTTAGTATTGATACAAACCCTTGAGTATCCCACCCTTGGTACCGATACTAAAAATGGCTACCAGAATCTGAGGAAACTGGGCAGTATCGATACTCTTAGCTATAATATCAATACTCCTAAATTAGGGTATAGATACCATCCTAAGTATCAATACCAAAATTTAATTTGATATTTTAAAATTTAATTTAGTATTGATACCCTTAGTGAGGGTATTGGTACCTTACATTTAGTATCGATACTCCCATGAGTACTGATATCAAAATAGGCTATTTGAATTTGTAAACTGAGCATGGTATCGATACTCATTGATACTCCACCCTTGAGTATCGATACCCAACGAACAATATCGATCCCCAAGGGACAAGTGTCGATTCTCATAGAATAAAACCCTTAGTTTTAGGCTAACTGAAAAACAATATTAGTACTGTTTATCCAATACTCATACCCAAGCATATAAATGCTCTATTTGAGCATGGAAATGACACCCCATTTCTCTCAAAAGCTCATTGAGTCCCCCAAATGTTATTAAAGTCTTAAGTTTGTTAAAAGGGGTCATAATAGGCCAACAAACATTCTAAAAAACACCATATACTAAAATTTACCATGAACATGCTTAATTTCTTCATAACTCATACAAACCACTAAAACAAATATAGTGGTATAAAGGTGGTTGAGTTGAGTTGTAAGTGTGTTACCTTGGATCCTAAGTTTTTAGAAATACCCAAAGTTCAACCAAGTGCTAGTTTCTCCTTTCCCTTGGTCTTGGAGCTTTCTCCAACCTCTCTCACTAGACAAGGGTCAAACATATGGATTATCAATGTGATTTTTGAGCTTATAAAGGAGTTAGGAACACTTTCTAAGGCTCAAATTCATAAAAAATATAAAATGGTTTACTAAGGTTTTTCAAACCTTTACTAAAACCCTTTTATGGAAACCATAGTCGAAACTAAATGTTAGGGGCTCAAAAAATGCTTGGGATTAGAGGATTGCAACCCTTACCTTGGTTTTTTTATTAAGCTTGAAATTTTCTAAAGTTACCACATTTTTGCTAACCTCCACCTTGAAGAAGAGATGAAGAGAATGGAGGTAGAAGACAAAGGAGAATGTAGAAAAAGAGTGGTTCAGGCGTGAGATCATCCCAAATAATTGGGATTTAGCCTTTTAAACTGAAAATGGATAATTCAGTCCCTTGGTCTCTAAAATTTTGGAAACAAAACAAAATTCCCCTTTTTAATCGTTGTTGGGCTTAATCTAAGCATAATTCCACTCCAATAGGGTCAAAGCTTCTCACAAGGCTAAAGAACTTACTCCAAACTCTCTCAATTTAACTCAAAACTACTAACTTAAGATTTAGGGAATTAGAACTTTCCCCTCCTAAAAAGAAATTTCATCCTCAAAATTTATTTGAGTAGAAAAGGTATGGATACTTAAGCTACATGTCTTCCTCGATTTCCCTAGTTGTTTCCTCGACTCCATTGCTAGGAATTTTGTCGCTATATCGATCAATCAAAAAAGGTGCCAAGAAGGGGTGAATTGACCAAATAAATTTTTTGGGAGTATGGAGAGAAATGATAGACAATTTGCACAATCATTTAGAGTGGTTCGACTTTTCAACCAATTATACAACTACAATTTAGGTTCACACTAAAGATTTCTAACAATTTCACTAATTTGTTCATTCTTTTTCTAGGCTCAAGAGTACCCTTTTATAACTTCATAGTTTTCAATGGCTACACTAGAACCAAACCCCTTTTACAAAAAATATAAAGAAAATGTAAACAAGAAAACTCT